GAGTGGCCGGTCAGCCAGCACCAGCCCGGCGCTGCTTTTACTGCGGCTCTTACCTCGTCCCTCGCCCTGAAGGTGAAAAACTTTGGGAATTCTCTCTAGAGCAAAGGAGAGAGAAAGCTCAGTGTGAACCATCCTGAATTCATTTAAAAGAAAAAACCTTGCAGGCTTGCTCCTTTCCCAAAGGGAAAAGAGCTGGGAGTAACTGATGCCTTTCAAACACAATTTAAAGCTCCAAAGTGGCCGTGCAGGAGCCTAATGTTACTGGAGACATTAGAGGCATAAAGGAGATAAATCACTCATTGAATCCCTCGTTAATTAATCCCCAGCTCCTGATGCACAGCAGGTACATCCATCACACAATGCTGTGTCTAGAAGGTACTTAGAGATGCCTGTAGGAGCTTTAGGGAGGCAGAAGCACGATGTGTTCGAAGTCGTCGGCTCAGACCGCACTCACTTGCTGGACAATGAGGAATGTGATTCTTCGGAGACCACAGTTGACAAGGATGTTTTTCTGCATGGAAACAGAAAACTCCACCAGTCACGAGAGCTTAAACATCTCCACCCAGGGAGCAAACAAAACCCAAGTGGCTGCCCCGGGGTGCAGCATTTTGGGGAGAGCTCCATGGGGATGGGGCAGCGCCTGGGGATACGGTGCCCTGGCTTGTGGGGTCTGCAAAGGGGGGTCCAGCCCCAGCAACAGACCTTGGACTGGGCAAAGGCTCTGAAGATGGGCACCAGCTTCTCATCCTCTGTGTGTTCAGCCCAGCGGAGCGTGATGTTGAGGATGTGAATTGGCTCCTCATGGACATTCTGGAAAAAAAAAAAAAAAAATCCAAACCAGTCAAACCTGACCAGCAGTTCCACTGCCATGGCAGCACCACACAGCAGGGACAGCAACGGCATCGTGCCCACCTTGGCGTCCTCCTCCTCGTAGATGGTGGCTCGTGCTTCGCTGAAGAGCGCGCACTCTGAAGGTGGGTCAGCAAAGCATGAGATCACTTCATCGAAGTTCCTGCCCAAATTGTGGGGATGGGGTGACAAGCCAGCACGTCATGCCCACCCCCTGCCCGAGTAGGCAGCTCTTCCACCCGCTTTTGCTCTCTAACGACTGCAGCAGCACCCAAAAGGCACGTGCACGACCGGCGAGGCACGTCCCTGCTCCCCCACCTCGTGAAGTCCTCGAATCTGTCAAAGGCCACCATAGCTCCCATCCGCTGGCTGAGGGGAGAAAAGCCGCTGTCCATGAAGAGCTCGGTGCTGTGCCGCGCCAGGTCGGGGTTGGAGATGCTGATGGGGACGGACATCCTG